GCCCTCTGCTGGGAAGAGAAGGGGGTAACACTTAAGAACAGTGTTAGCAATAAACACCAGTGCCATTCCCTGTCATCCTCACCTGCCCTCCAATGACACTATTTGCAGAGTGACTGAAATATAAAATCTCCTGCTCAGATGTATGTGCATCCATCTAAAGTCATCTCTCTAATATTCAGCAACTTAAATCATCCCTTACACAAAATCCCTTACCTAAATCATTCCCTTACACGTGCCAATGTTGCTAAAAAGTTAATGAATGGATCAGCAGTGATGGATGGGAAAGATCACAAGCTCTGGAATCAGAAGACCTTTGGAAGGGATCAGACTCTTCCACCTACTGTCTGTGACTTTAGGAAAGTCCCTTAATTAACTTACTGAGTGGTATCATCTGCTAGCTTCTAGAGTCCTTTGAGAATTAAAATACAATGATGTGTATCTAAGATGTTAGTAGAAACTTTATAAACAATGACTACTAGTTTGCAAAATGCATATGAAAAACATGACTTATCAACACCTTTCTATCAAACTGGTTTATTTAGCTTAAATGTGGAGCCAGTAAGTAGTATCCTAGGTTTAAAAAACTGAGTTGGGGGCGAGTCTAGATGTTATAAAGCCAATAAAAATTGCCACTGCCCAATTCTCCACTTCTGCCAACCAATGAGGGGCTGACACGGGTTATAATTCCAAGAATAAGGTCAATATCTTAAATCTGTAGAGTACTTTAAGTCCTCCGGTGTGTCTAGAAAATATTCATCAGATGCAGAAGATAGTTACTTCTGGCTGATGAGACTTTAAATAACTTTTTCAACTTCAATTTTATAATTTAAACAGTAGTAAAATTTTTAATAAGCACAGTTCATTACCAAAAAAACAGTAACAAACATTTCCTGAAAACAAGCCAATCAATCACTAATCCCGGTTTCAACGGCTCTGCATTAGTGCAATGGTTCTCACCCAGTATGATTTTTGCGCCCCCGCCCTCAGACATTTGGAAATGTCTGGAGACATTTTTGTTTATCATAACTGGGGCAGAGCTACTGGTATTTAGTTCCACGGATGCTGCCCAACATCCTAAAATGCATAGGGGACACCTACACATACACCAGAGAATTATCGGTCCAAATGTAAATAGTGCCAAGGTAGAGAAATGCTGAATCTTAAACAAATTGTATAGATTCCTGACCTCCATCTCCAAAGTTAACATCTTACAGTTTTGCCTAACACTTATTCTAGAGTCAGTCCTGAGCTTCTCACTAGTCTCGAGATACTAGACAATTGGCTTGCTTCAGGTCACTCAGTAAGTAGCAGATCTGGAACTCCGCTCCGGTCTCCAGACTCCAGTCCTGGTCTCTTCTAGCGTACTGCAGCTGCTGACAAAAAGACCTCCTTTGGCAATGGACCTGAAGTTATTCAGGTGTCTCCCTTCGAATAAGTATAGAATGTTTCCTACGAAGAGGCATAGTGCTGGTGAGGAGGGTGCAACACGAAAAATGAATAAAATGCTACACCAGCTCTTGAGTTATTAGAGTCTACTAAAGGTAAATCACACACAGCGCTTAGTCCCATGAGCCACACACGTACATGCATACACACACACTAACATATTTTATAGAAATATGCATTATATAGAAAAATGGAACATTTGGAGGAATGATTATGGGTAAGTCGGGTAGAGAGTATGTAATGCGAATCAAGAAAGGATGAAGTCTTTTGACTAAGATAATGATGCTGCTGACGTATGAAGATGTGGGATAGCTTGCACTGAAAAGTGATCCATAAACACAAATCATTACTCAAAGTTATGTGATAAATGTTACCCAAGTGGGACAAGGCAATCATATATCTGACATTTCCACCTTCTAAAAACCAACAATCACTCAGGAAGATAGGTGGGATGAAAGTCACCACATCTTCCCGGTCATAAACATACAACTTTACTTAAATGGGCCTCTTCAGAAAAACCCCCTCCAATGGCCACGGGCTCTGCCTAACACTTAAAAATCATAACTGATTTTTAAAAATCACTTTTAAAAATCAATGATGTCAGCTGGAAAACTACAATTCCCACACTGTCAATTTCTTCTTTCTTTCTTGATTTATTATTTACACACACACACACACACATATATATATATATTTTTTTAAACTTTTTTATTCTCAAGTTAGTTAACATACAGTGTAGTCTTGGTTTTAGGAGTAGAACCCAGTGTCAGTTTCTAATCTTTTATGCACACTGAAATCAATATAACCATACCCTTTGTCATCAGGCCAACAATTATCTAGTGTAATACATAAGACTAGAAAAATTGATAACCATATATCTATCAAGATTTATAAGTGACTATGAACTATGAAAATTCAAACAATAACTACCTATTCTGTAAAACACTGCATGATTTATAGATATTCAATTTTTAAATCCTTGAGAACCTTGTTATTCCTCAATACTTGCTTACAATTATAATTAATTATAATAATCTTAATTTCCTACAAGAAGTAAATTAAGTACTCAGATCATTAATAAAAAATGTAATTGTCTTAATGGATATTCAAATTTTTCAAATACTGAGATTGTGAGTTTCTGTGACTATCACAATGTTAAGTGTTTGAAAAGATTAACTTAAAAGCATCAGCTCCATAGCTGTAAGTAAATATCAAATGTGATGGGGAGCATATACATGCTGATATAAGCTCTTAAGATGATTCTGCTAAGATACTCTTCACCTCATTTGAGAATCACATGAAAAAAAAAAAGAACAGAGAAAGCAAGGCTTCAAGTTATAGAAATTAAAATTAAGATTCAATTAAATTTATAATTAAGCATAAAAGATCATTTTACCTTTTAATGATGACAGGTAAAGTTGACCTTTCTCTCCCCCACATTTTACTCTGTGACAAAGTTCAGGCAGCAGTTTTTTCCACCACAAAGTCTATCTTAGAAAAAAATGAATAAATTTTAAGTTTGATGCATTTTACATTCAGATGTCCAACAAAAATAAGATGGTGCAAGAAAGCACAGGGCAAAAATACATAATTTTGGTTAAGGTGACAAACTTGGCTACAACAGAAGTTATATGAGCAGCCAGTCTTCTCTTTATAACATGGGCTTAGTCAGTTGAGTGTCCAACTCTTGATTTCCACTCAGGTCATGATCTCATGGTTTGGGGGTTTGAGCCCCACATCAGACAGGGTTGACAGTGTGGCGCTTGCTTGGGATCCTGTCTCCCTCTCTCTCTTCCCCTCCCCTGTTCTTTCTCTATCTGTATCTCTCAAAATAAACATTAAAATTTTTTTTAAATAAACTATAACATAAATCAGGTTCGTAACTTGAAAATCTAATGATATGTATGTTGTACACATGTTAGCTATTCTCAAGAAGAAACACAGACGTGTCCTGTTATCATCTCTTAGGTAATAAGAGGAAAAAAAGGGAGGGGTGGGGAAGGAGGAAGGAAGGCAGGAGTACTAAAGTTTAAAACTCTTCTAATTTTGAAGGTAAAGACCATATATAGCCCAGAAAATATTTTCTGTCTTCCAAATCTTCAGGTAATAGCCTACTTCATTTCCAAACAAGAGATTTTTACTGTGATCACATACAATCACCATACAGTTTAATAGCCTCTAACAGTACTCAAAACATATAACATATTAAACATATATGCTCCTCCGACCCACACAGACCTGTGAGGTTGGACTCACATAATTTGTCCCCATTTTGCAGATAAGGCAACGAGATTATCAAATCTGATTATCACTAATCAAGCCTCAAAGACATAAGCTGAAAAGCATACCCGATTCTCTTCTTTCAGTTCGTGATTAGCATATGGAATGATCGCCTCTGGGCATCTTTCTAACAGTGTGTCTATACACTGTTCATACTCTTTCAAACGTGTACGACACAGAATATGGACACTGAGGCCAGCAATAGTGTCTTCTGAGAGTGGCTCCAGGAATGGGATAATGGAAGCTATGTCAAATGAAGGACCACATATAAGAGACTATGAACAGAAAAATGAAATGTTATGGAATGAGGCACCCAAAAGATAAAGTACAACATACAGAATACAATTCTTTTTTAAAGAAGACCAAGCCTTATTGCCAAAAAAAAAAGGAAACATAAAGAATGCAGTTTTGGAGTTCATGCATACAATATTTATAAGTCTAAATGTCCTGAAGTATTAAATAATCATGAAACCACCTCTAATTTAAATAGAAAATCTGTTTAATAGTAATCATATCTAAACTAACATGATTTTAGCTCCTTTGGATATACTGCAAATTAAAACTAATGGGAATGTTTGAGGAGCCTATCCTAAGGAAATAATCAACACTGTGATCAAAGATTTATGTCCAACGATGTTCATTTCAAGAATTATTATAATATTGAACAGCTAGAATCTAGGTTAAATAAGGAAAAGGAAAATTATGGTACATCCATATGACGGAATATTATATAGCCATCAAAGTTATTTCCAAAGGCTAATTGATGAGAAAATGCTCATAACAGAATGATGAGTAAAAAATGTCAATACAAAATTATATTCAGAGCATGATCAGTTTTGTAAAATCTACACAGGTACATGCACATACAGAAATGCCTTTGGAAGAGCATTGAAATTTGAAACAGAGATCAGCTTACTGATGGAATGACAAAGCCCACTTTTTATTTTTTCACATTTTCCTCTATCTTCCAAATTTTCCAGAATACACATGCACTACGTAATAGCCAAAAATAAAATTTAACATTTAAGATAACTGAAGAAATTGTTAATAACCTAACAATTTGTGTCTATACTATTTGTCACAAGTTCATAGACATAGAGTAGGTACTATTTGAGTATTCAGAACTTTGCCAGTATTTTACTTTTTAAGCATTTAAACTATAAATACTATTTTTGATGCTACCACCAAAATAATCTCCTCTTTGCCTTTCTTCTGGATAAAGATGAGATGGTAATATCTTGATTTTCTTCTTTCTGTATCCTTTTTTACTACAGCGTCTTCTCTGACATACAAGATGATATGGAATGTGAACTATTCGTTTATAGTCATCGTGATTATGTTATTCCAAATATCTACCAAGGAATGGCTAGGCGTATAAGGTTGGTCTCTTTCCTTCCTGCAAGTTTAATAATCACCTTCCTCTGAATAATTTCCAGACACAAGGATAGCAAACATGATAATTTGCCACTTGTAGGATCTCCCAACATGAAAGAAAACACAGATTGTTTCTATATTCAACTTTTGATTCATTGGGATAATGGGCAGGGTAAGAAGGAGAGAGGCAGAGGTAACCCAAACCATGGTTAAAATGAAACTAGTCAAAGCTTGATACAAAATTAAGTACCCATGAACTTTTACTTAGTTTTATCAAGAAGTTTAAAAATAAGAAACACCAGACAACACATATATTACTGAATCAAAAATGCTCCAAAGGTTACTACTACTTTTTAAAATACTCTTAATGTTGTCTGCTCCTTAGCAGAATGCTCCTTGTTTTACGTACTGGGAATGGATTCCTTTCCATACCCGACACATGTACCATTTATTGCCTTCTCTGATCTAGATCCTTCACCTGCAGCCAACTCTGCAGGGCTGGAACCCACAGACTCTGTCTTCTCTCCCTACACAATCTAAGGAGTGGTGGTTGGCAAGGAAGTGGGGGAGTGGGGAGGGGACCGTGACAATTATGGCAAAAGGTAGGGCATTTACTAGTTATTGTGTGATTCCAAACAGTGGCTTTTTGACATGTAGATGATTTGTAGAGTATTTTTATTTTAGGTTTTCCACAAATATACTATTACAGTGATTGAGGACAAGAGACAGAAACTCCTATCAAATCTGTGTGTGAGGGTGGGGACGTGGGGAAGAGAGAAATCATGCAATTCTGAAAACGCTTTCCAGGTGATTCCGAACCTCCTATTCTTCTAGGTGAAAACAAATGACATCATTTTGTTTCTGGATGGTTATTTTTTTCTTAATGACTAAGAATAACCAAGATAATCTAGAAGGAGATATAATTAGGAAAAGGATTTTTAAGAGTATAGGCTTACTACATTTCTATGCTTTAACAGCAAAGATTCCCAGAAAGAATGTATTCTTTTTCAATACTTTAAAATAAATTTTAAAAGATCACTCAATTACACTTTTTCAAGCAGTGATTATAAATATGCCTTGAAGCTTTATCAGGTGAGATTTAATAGCACTTGTTACAATTGTGATTTTAAATACGCAATTAATACATATATTCTGGGAGGGCAAGGCCCTCCCTGCCTGGCTTATCTACTGCCACAGACCACATTTATGGTACCTGCTTGAGGAATATTTGTTCAAGGAGCATATCTGAGGCTAACACCTAAGGAGCCTCTGTAACATAAGGGTACTAGAGATAGGAACCAACAAGATTTTTCTCTGGCAATTTTTTATGAATGTAAGGAACTGCATCTCTGGAGATAACACAGGCCTGTCCAGAGGCTGAGTCTAAGCAATAATGGGCTCTTGTGCTTCCATCCCTGACCCAATCCCCAACTTGACATTTTGGTTTCTATAGACAGTAACCACACTTACGCCAGTTCCCAGTATAAATAAGGGGCTGTAAACTCAAAAGCTTAACGAGGCCAAAAGAGGTGAGGAAAATGCATGAAGTCAGCTGGGTATAAGGAAAATGGACACCAGACGCTGTATCTGGACCGGGAAGACATGGAGATGAGAATTGAGGCAGACAGGACAACACATTCACTGACCATGGAGGGGAGCCACTAGTTGGCTCCAACTCTCAGGTCTCAGAGGCAGTGAAGCCCAGGGTTACTGGCTCTGCTGAACTTTCCGAGAAGAGACTGAAACTCAGAACTCTTCATTTGAAATTTCAGTTTTTATATGTTGGCACTACATTGGGCAGACCAAACAAAGCAGACGTGGGGGTTATGTTCAGTCCTTGGGCCACTGAACTACATTAAATAAAATCACATCCACATCTAGCCCAGTTTGATCCACCAAGGCAAAGGTGGACTTTATTTCTCATTTGCAGTCAAAACGCTGCCACAGTCAGAATTCCTGCAGGATGGTCTACATTTCCTGATCATACTTATCTTTTTAAAACTCCGTTTCAGCAGCCAAACTGGCCACTTTAACCTACTTTCTGTAAGACAGATAGTAGTGGGAGGCTTGGGCTAGAAGCCAAACATACATGAATGAACGCTATACAAAAAAATGAATTCCGTCAATAAAAACACCGCTACACATTTGCCATGCTTTCCTTTCACAAAGTATTTCCAAGCACACCCTGAAAATGAGGCAAGACAGTCAGGTGACCTGGTGACCTCACTCTCATTCTTTACAGGCAACAAAACCAGCCTTCAGGAGCCCTCCTCTCAGCGGGTTCAGGCAGAGGCAGGAATGTCCTCCAACCCTCCCAAGCATACCTCAGGATGGATTTTTGTCCCCCAAAAAGTATATGTTCTAGATTAACAGGCCACACGAGGTCTCACCAAATTTAAATATGATACTATGTTGTAATCTGCATATTAATAAAAAAAAGAGGCATTTTTATTTACCTGTAATTTAGAAAGGTCTTCTGTGTAACTTTTATCCGCTAAGGAATCAGATGATATTAAGACATTAACCCATGGATAGATTAAGCCATAATGACTACAGGCATTTATCTAAAATGTAAAAGAAACCTCTCATAAACAAAATAGAACAAAACAAGATTCTCTTCATCCATTCCACAAAGAGCAAGCAGTTGCTAATCTTCTGTCACGTCACAGAATTAGGTGTACACTTGCCTGGGAATGGGAATGAAAGTCTCTTATTCTAAAAGATTTTATTCCCCTAGGAAAGCTTCAGCCTTGCTGCTTCTCACTGAATAAAACTGCACCAAAAATGAAAAAAAAATGCACTAAATATTTCCTTATATCTTACATTTTATTTATTTATTTTTTTTTTTAAATTTTTTTTTTTTTTCAACGTTTTTAATTTATTTTTGGGACAGAGAGAGGCATAGCATGAACAGGGGAGGAGCAGAGAGAGAGGGAGACACAGAATCGGAAGCAGGCTCCAGGCTCCGAGCCATCAGCCCAGAGCCTGACGCGGGGCTCGAACTCACGGACCGCGAGATCGTGACCTGGCTGAAGTCGGAAGCTTAACCGACTGCGCCACCCAGGCGCCCCTATCTTACATTTTAAAATATTCCTAAGAAACACTTTCTAGCAGAAAAAGCAATACTGCTTTTAAGCTAATTTTACTCAAAAAAAGTTAACAGTAATAGTGGAATTTTTATTTCTACTACTTTCCGTGGTAGGCAAAAGCTCTTCCATAAGTTCTCAAGACAATTCCCATAAAGCCCCCTTATTCAAGAAGTTGGTGACTTTTCCGGTGAACCCACATTAGCGCTGGCATCCATGAGAGGCAAAAAGGACAAGAGGAGGGGAGGGGCAGGAAGTGGTAAAGCAGAGTAGTTAGGGCTCCTGCAAGGCCTACAGTATAGCTCTTGTGTGCACAGCTGACAGGAAATGACTCCAGTACAGGTCTCCCTCCCGCAAGCCTTCTGTAGTTCCTCTCCCGTCAGGGAGGTCTGCAGATGTGTCTTTTCTCAAGTTCTGCTCTGTAACTATCCCCCCAGGGAGTATAGAAGTGTTTGGGGGGAAGCCCTCCCCTCTGCTTCATCTACTGAGGCACCACTGCAAGTGAGTAATATTGGAGCAATAGGGGGCATTCTTTATAATATAAAATTATTTAAAACGTAAGCAATGTTAGGGGCACCTGGGTAGCTCCGTTGGTTGAGTTACTTTTGCTCAGGTCATGATCTCATGGTTTGTGAGTTCAATCCCTGAATTAGGCTCTGTGCTGACAGCTCAGACCCTGGAGCTTGCTTCGGTTTCTGTGTCTCCTTCTCTCTCTGCCCCTGCACCCCGCTCTCAAAAATAAAAATTAAAACAAAAAACATTAAAAAAAAAAAACCCTGCAAGCAATGTTACTCATGGACAAGTTTTAAGGGTATTTTTAATGCCTGCTTAAAAAAAGATATCTGGTACTATAAATTAGGTTTGATTCTAAGCCATTAAAAATAACAAGGTATGCTACTATAATGTGTAATGTACAAATTTAATTTAACATATTATTCTCTCACCAGATCCTCTGATGTTCGCAATGGTATGGTGTCAGGGGGCTGCATCTTGGATAATCTCCAGATGTATTGTGATGTGAGCTTGAAAAAGAGTTCCTGGAGAACCACATCTGGGAGACCTGCCACAAGCTGAGCTTCCCAGAGGTCTACCAAGAGCTGAGGAATCGTATCTTTATCCTTACCACAAAGCACCTTGAAAACAGTGAGAAAAGCCCCCACATCCCAGATCAATATAGTATTGATAAGTTACAGCTAGTCTGAATAACACTCTATCTATGGGCCAGGCATTTAATAATTTATCATTAGCATTAGTGCGATGGCAGAGTAGATTGAGACATTTGAACAGAAAACCGATTCTAGGTTGCATGAATGGAATTTTTCTACATACGTTCTTTTAATCTGTACTTGTATAAATTTGTTATGTGTAAGTCTGTTTTTTCAATAAACAAAGGGAACCCCAGTCTCTTATTCAGCTTCCCGTCTGCCACCAGTTTTATCAGGCTATATCCAGAGCCATTACATTTTCAGAGCGACAAACCTTAAAGAAGGAATCTGCTTCTTCAATTCCAATTTTGTTGTTCTTCTGTAAGCCCAGAACTGAAGCCACAAGCAGTCCGGGCTGAGTGTCCTTCAACTGTACTGCAAGTTCAGTGGGAATGATCTGTCCCCTTCTCTGTTGAATCAATAGCCGAGGTTCCAGGATGAAGCCACATACCAACTTCATCTTCAGATAAGCAAGAGATTTGGGATCAAAATGTACACTGCATTCATCTTGAAAATATTTGCCAGTACATTCAAGGTTCATGGTTAAGCTATTAATACTTCAGTCTCAATTTTTTCTTTAACTACAAAGTTCTCACTCTAAGAAGAGCATCATTGTTAAGTACCTTTAAAGAAGTTATTAATATTTAATTCACCATCAGGATATCATATTTTTGTAGAGAGCTGTATATTTATCTACCTAATTTAAAAATAAC